TCTAGGTGTGGAGCTGCAAGAAATGGGTGAGATCTTAAATGAATATTTCTCATCAGTATTTAATGTCAAGAAAGGCATGGATGCGAGGGAACTGGCGGGGGGGTGGGAAGGAAGAAGACCAATGATGTCTTTACGACCATCCACATTAGAGGTGCTGGAAATCTTAAAACTCATGAAGATAGATAAATCCCCAGGACCTAATGAAGTATATCCTAGGACTTTGTGGGAGGCAAGGGAGAAATTGCAAGACCCCTAGCAAAAATATCTGTAACATCGACAGCTGTAGGTGAAGTGCTCGAAGATTGCAGGATGGCCTCATGACGAGCCATTATTTGAGGAAGACTGCAGGGAAATGCCTGGGAACTACAGACCGGTGAGCATAATGTGTGGTGGCTAATTTCTTAGAGCGGATTCTGAAAGACAGGATCTGTAGGCATTTGGAGAGGCAAGGACTCATCTGGTACAGAGATAGTAGGAACAGCCGATGCTGGAGGATCTGAGATAACAAGGTGTAGAGCTGGATGAACACAGCAGGCCAAGCAGCATCAGAGGAGCAGGAAGGCTGACGTTTCGGGTCTAGACCCTTCTTCAGAAATGGGGGAGGGGAAGGGGATTCTGAAATAAATAGGGAGAGCGGGGGAGGCAGATAGAAGATGGATAAAGGAGAAGATAGGTGGAGAGGAGACAGACAGATCAAGGAGGCGGGGTTGGAACCAGTAAAGGCGAGTGTAGGTGGGGAGTTAGGGAGGGGATAGGTCGGTCCAGGGAGGACGGACAGGTCAAGTCAAGGAGGCGGGATGAGGTTAGTAGGTAGGAGATGGGGGTGGGGCGTGAGGTGGGAGGAAGGACAGGTTAGGGAGGCGGGGACAAGCTGGGCTGGTTTTGGGATGCGGTCAGGGGAGGGGAGATTTTGAAGCTTGTGAAGTCCACATTGATACCATTGGGCTGCAGGGTTCCCAAGTGGAATATGAGGTGCTGTTCCTGCAACCTTCGGGTGGCATCGTTGTGACACTGCAGGAGGCCCAGGATGGACATGTCGTACAAGGAGTGGGAGGGGGAGTTGAAATGGTTCACGACTGGGAGGTGCAGTTGTTTGGTGCGAACTGACCCAGCTCGTCCCCGCCTCCCTAAACTGTCCTTCCTCCCACCTATCCCCTCCTCTCACCTCAAGCCCCACACTCATCTCCTACCTACTAGCCTCATCCCGCCTGCTTGACTTGTCCGTCCTCTCTGGACTGACCTATCCCCTCCCTAACTCCCCACGCACACTCACACTCGCACTCACATTTACTGGCTCCAACCCCGCCTCCTTGACCAGTCTGTCTCCTCTCCACCTATCTTCTATCCGCCTCCCCTGCTCTCCCTATTTATTTCAGAATCCCCTTCCCCTCCCCCATTTCTGGAGAAGGGTCTAGAGCCGAAACGTCAGCCTTCCTGCTCCTCTGATGCTGCTTGGCCTGCTGTGTTCATCCAGCTCTGCACCTTGTTATCTCAAAGACTCATTTGGGACAGTCGGCATGTCTGTGTGCGGGGAATCACATCTCATAAATTTGATTCAGTTTTTTGAAGGGGTGACCAAGAAGGTAGATAAGGGCACTGCAGGACACTGAAGAGTTGTCTACATGGGCTTTAGTAAGGCCTTTACCAAAAGTACCGCACAGTGGGTTTTTGAGCAAGGCTAAATCTCACAGGATCCAGAGAGCGAGCCAACTGGATACAAAATTGGCTTGACAGTAGAAGACAGAGGGAGGTGGTAGAGAGCTGCTTTTCAGACTGGAGGTTTGTGACCAGTGGTGTGCCACAGCAATCAGTGATGGGTCCACTTTTTTGTCATTTATATATATGACTTGGATTAAAGTTTAGGAGGTATGGTAAGTAAGTTTATGGATGACGCCAAGAGTGGTGGTACAGTGGACAGTGAGGATGGTTTTCCTGGGAATGTAGCAAGATCTTGATCGAGTGGGCCACTGGGCTGAGGAATGGCAAATGGAGTTTAATTTAGATTAATGCAATCTGTTGCATTTTGATGGGTCAAACCAAGGCAGGACTTAGTCACTGGTACAGCCCTCGGAAGTGTTATATAAATGAAATCTAGGGGTACAGGTTCATTGCTCTTTGAAAGCAGTATCACAGGTAGACAGTGGTGAAGGAAGCTTTCAGCATGCCTGTTTTCATTGGTCAGACCACTGAATATAGGACATCTTGTTGCAACTGTGCAAGACGTTGGTAAGGCCGCATTTGGAGTACTGCATCCATTACTGCTCACCCTATTAGAGAAAGGATATTAGACTAGAAAGAGCGCAGAAAAGATTTACTAGGATGCTACCTAGACTGGAAGGTTCAAGTTGTAAAGGGAGGTTGGACAGCCTAGGACTTTTTTCCTTGACACTTAGGAGACTGAGTGATGACCTTATGCATGTCTATAAAATCACAACAGGCACAAAAAAGGTAGACAGTCAACAGCTTTTCCTCCACGGTAGAGGAGTCTAAAACTAGAGGGCATAGATTTAAGGAGGGAGGGGAAGAGATAGAAAAGGGTCCAAAAGGCCCACTTTTTTCACACAAAGGGTGATGAGTATCTGAAACAGGCTGCCAGAGTGTACAATATTTGCACAGGGTCATTTGATGGGATAGGTATGGTGGGATATGGACAAATGCAGGCAAATGGGACTAGTTTAAATTGTGAAAACTGGGCAGCATGGACAAATGGGGCTGAAGGGCCTTTTCCATGCTGTAAATCTCTATGACTACATATAGAACTTGACAGAAACATGCCTAACTTTGATGGAACCATGATGCCTCTCACTCATGCATACTCTTAGATCACTGAGTGTTGGTACTCACTGTTGCAGGCATTAACCTTTCCAAATCCTTATACTACATTAAATACTTCAGGTAGTTAGATAGAACTCTCAATGTAACTGGCATATGTGGTGCTACCTGATATACTGAGCATTTCCAGCACTTTTCTATATTGTTCTTAAATGCTGTAATGTAAAACAATGTTTAAGTAAACAAAGGCACAGATGTCATCAGAAGCATTGAAACTGTCCCAGCACCAACTTGACGGGACATCTTCTAATACTGGTCACAGGATTGCTGACAGCTTAGCCTCCTAATAAAGATCAGTAATGCTTTTGAGTCTTATCCATCTGTACAGATATTGATTGGCACTGGCAAATTATATAGTGGCTCACCACATGCCAAAGGATTTTATGACAGTTAGATTAGTTTTGAAGCACAGTCATGTTATTTGTTGGCAATTGAAGTCACCATGAGTGCATGACAAGATCCCACAAATATACTAAATGAGTAAAGCGGCCAGTTACTGGAGTTAACAAGGTGTAGAGCTGGATGAACACAGCAGGCCAAGCAGCATCATAGGAGCAGGAAAGCTGACGTTTCGGGTCTAGACCCTTCTTCAGAAATGGGGGAGGGGAAGAGGGTTCTGAAATAAATAGGGAGAGGGGGAGGCGCATAGAAGATGGATAGAGGAGAAGATAGGTGGAGAGGAGACAGACAGGTCAAAGAGGCGGGGATGGAGCCAGTAAATGGGAGTGTAGGTGGGGAGGTAGGGAGGACGGACAGGTCAAGGGGACAGGATGAGGTTAGTAGGTAGGAAATGGGGGTGCGGCTTGAGGTGGGAGGAAGAACAGGTTAGGGAGGCGGGGACGAGCTGGGCTGGTTTTGGGATGGGGGAGGGGAGATTTTGAAGCTTGTGAAATCCACATTGATACCATTGGGCTACAGGGTTCCCAAGCTTTAAAATCTCCCCTCCCCTACAGCATCCCAAAACCAACCCAGCTCGTCCCTTCCTCCCACCTATCCCCTCCTCCCACCTCAAGCCGCACCCCCATTTCCTACCTACTAACCTCATCCTGCCCCTTGACTTGTCCGTCCTCCCTGGACTGACCTATCTCTTCCCTACCTCCCCACCTACACTCACCTTTACTGGCTCCATCCCCGCCTCTTTGACCTGTCTGTCTCCTCTCCACGTATCTTCTCCTCTATCCATCTTCTATCCGCCTCCCCCTCTCTCCCTATTTATTTCAGAACCCCCTTCCCCTCCCCAATTTCTGATGAAGGGTCTAGTCCCGAAACATCAGCCTTCCTGCTCCTCTGATGCTGCTTGGCCTGCTGTGTTCATCCAGCTCTACACCTTGTTATTTCAGATTCTCCAGCATCTGCAGTTCCTACTATCTCAGTTACTGGAGCTGTTGGTTAAGGGATGACTGTACATCAGGACAACTCGTTGCTATTCTCTTAACAGAAGCACTCAATCATTTAACATTCACCAGGCTGTGGTCCCTTTGTTTCCTACATGGAAGGGATAGGTATGCAGGGATTATGGACAAAACACAAGCAAATGCGACTAGTTTAATTGTGAAACCTGGGCAGCATAGGCAAGTTGGGCCGAAGGGCCTGTTTCTACGCTGTAGACCTCACTGACTCATCATAGAAGCCACTTGGCTTTCTCCATCATTTTCCTTGTTCAGATATACAGCATCCACAGAATCTTACTGAAAGAGACTGGCAACTGTACACATTTCACCAGGAGCCAGCTTGGGCTATGGTGGCCATAAACTGTTGAGGTGGTCATTTAGTCCAAGCACCTGCCCCTCTTCCATGGTTATGGCAATGCCCAGGGTATCTTCAAAGGAGGGAGACCAGTGAGACAGGCAGAGTCCATTACCACACTACAAGACCTTCTGCAGCTCTGGGGATCACAAGGAGTGCACTGTCCATTTTAATTCAAGTTTTGTTTATTTAAGTTTTGCTCATTTGATTTCTGACGTGCCCCTATAAAGGGCTGACACCCTGGAATCTGGTTCAGTTTGAAATTGTTTTTATAAAGTGGCTTTAAAAGAGAGTTTTCACATGGGGGGGGGGGGTTAAACCAAAATAGGAAAAACGGGGGGGGTGGGGAAAGAGGTATGTTGGTCAGCAAAATGATTTTCTTCTTTAAATGCAGCCAGAACCGCCCTTAGAGTGGTATTTACCTGTTGTATTCAGAGAAGACATAGACAGCGGCTGCAGCCTCCCTACTCCCAGAGCCCACAACCTGCAGGTAGACAGTGGAGGGTCCGTGTGTGGTTCCATGTTTCCTCTTCTCCCTCGTCTTTAGGTGTCTCAGGGTCGGCTTCTCCTTGCTGCCGGGGGAGTTCCGCTGCTCCCCGGCCGGACTGAGGGACATGCCGGTGCCGGTGCGGCTGCAGAGCAGCAGGGCTGGGGCGAGGTTGAAGCGGTGCGGCAGCGCTCTGCGGGACAGTCGCCGGAGACCAGCCCGCAACATAGGCAAAGCTGGTGAGCAACCCGTCAACTCGCCGGCTCTCTCTGCATGCTCGCTCTCTCTCTCCCTTCAGCTTCACCTTATCCTTCCGTCGCTGCCTCTGACAACTTCTGGTGCTTAATCCCCACCCCCCCAGCAAAATTGCACAGCCGAGAACTTCCGCATCGCGTACAACATAAATGAGAAACAGGTACTTACTTTAAACATCCAAACCAGCAGCACCTTGCAGGTTGCAACTTTATAATTGCAATAGGTGCAAAGCGTTAGCAATTAAACTGCTCCTAACCTCATTAAAAATTGCAACTGATCAACACAAGCGATGACAAATAGAAGCATTTGTGTGATTGATTTACACCTTCTTGAAGCCTTACTTTGGTCTTTTATTTCAGAAATGGATAACTGCTGTAATGTAATATATAAAACCCGAAGTTTAATCAAGACAAGCGCTGGTCTGTTTTGGAAACGCTGTGTACAATTAAAGCTAACGACCTGCTTAGGGAAAAGTGGCCTCATTGCTAACAATGCAGTGAATAAAGGACTTGGTGTACGCGTGGGGAAAAAAAGCATAGCAAACGATCTGATGGTTAAATGTGAGCTGTCCCACTGCACAGTAAACTGGCCACAAGCAGTGTTCTAGAACAAAAACAGAAGCTGCTGGAAAAGCTCAGCAGGTCTGACAGCATCTGTGAAGAAAAAAAATTAGAGTTAATGACCGCCAAACCATCATCTCCCAAACCATCCACAACCTCATCACCACAGGTGACCTCCCACCCACAGCCTCCAACCTCATCGTTCCCCAACCCCGCACCGCCCGCTTCTATCTCCTTCCCAAAATCCACAAACCTGACTGCCCTGGTCGACCCATTCTCGCCACCTGCTCCTGCCCCACCGAACTTATCTTCACCTATCTCGACTCCATTTTCTACCCCTTGATCCAGGAACTCCCCACCTTCGTCCGTGACACCACCCATGCCCTCCACCTCTTCCAGAACTTCCAATTCCCCGGTCCCCAACACCTCATCTTTACCATGGACGTCCAGTCCCTATACACCTGCATTCCCCATACAGATGGCCGAAAGGCCTCCGCTTCTTCCTGTCCCGCCGGCCCGACCAGTCCCCCTCCACTGACACCCTCATCCGCTTAGCTGAACTTGTCCTCACCCTCAACAACTTCTCTTTCAATTCCTCCCACTTCCTACAGACAAAGGGGGTGGCCATGGGTACCCGCATGGGCCCAAGCTATGCCTGCCTCTTTGTAGGTCACGTGGAACAATCCCTCTTCCGTACCTACACTGGCCCTAAACCCCACCTCTTCCTCCGTTACATTGATGACTGTATCGGCGCCGCCTCGTGCTCCCAGAAGGAGCTCGAACAGTTCATCCACTTCACCAACACCTTCCACCCCAACCTTAAGTTCATCTGGACCATCTCTCATATCTCTTTCTCCTTCCTGGACCTCTCTATTTCCATCTCTGGCAACCACCTGGAAACCGATATCCATTTCAAGCCCACCTCCTCCCACCCACCTTCCTGCAAAAATGCCATCCCCTATTCCCAATTCCTTCGCCTCTGCCGCATCTGCTCCCAGGATGAGGCATTCCACTCCCGTACATCTCAGATGTTCTCATTTTACAAGGACCGCAACTTCCCCCCCTCAGTGGTCGAGAACGCCCTCGACCGTGTCTCCCGCATTTCGCGCAACTCATCCCTCACACCCCATCCCCGCAATAACAACCCAAACAGAATCCCCCTCGTCCTTACGTACCACCCCACCAACCTCCGGATTCAACGCATCATCCTCCGACACTTCCGCCATCTGCAATCCAACCCCACCACCAAAGACATTTTTCCCTCCCCACCCTTATTAGCTTTCCGGAGGGACCACTCTCTCCGGGACCCCTTGTCCGCTCCACACTCCCCTCCAGCCCCACCACACCCGGCACTTTTCCCTGCAACCGCAGGAAGTGCTACACCTGCCCCTACACTTCCCCCCTCACCCCCATCCCAGGCCCCAAGAAGACTTTCCACATCAAGCAGATGTTCACCTGCACATCTGCTGATGTGGTATACTGCATCTGCTGTTCCCGTTGTGGCCTCCTCTTCACCGGGAAACCAAACGGAGGCTTGGGGACCACTTTGCAGAACACCTATGCTCGGTTCGCATTAAACAACTGCACCTCCCAGTCGCAAACCATTTCAACTCCCCCTCCCATTCCTCAGATGACGTGTCCATCCTGGGCCTCCTGCAGTGCCACAATGATGCCACCCGAAGGTTGCAGGAACAGCAACTCATATTCCGCTTGGGAACCCTGCAGCCCAATGGTATCAAGGTGGACTTCACAAGCTTCAAAATCTACCCTCCCCCAACCGCATCCCAAAACCAGCCCAGTTTGTCCCCGCCTCCCTAACCTGTTCTTCCTCCCACCTATCCCCTCCTCCCACCTCAAGCCGCACCCCCATCTCCTACCTACTAATCTCATCCCGCCCCCTTGACCTGTCCGTCCTCCCTGGACTGACCTATCTCCTCCCTTCCTCCCCACCTACACTCAACTTTACTGGCTCCATCCCCGCCTCTTTGACCTGTCTGTCTCCTCTCCACCTATCTTCTCCTCTATCCATCTTCTATCCGCCTCCCCCTCTCTCCCTATTTATTTCAGAATCCCCTTCCCCTCTCCCATTTCTGAAGAATGGTCTAGGCCGGAAATGTCAGCCTTCCTGCTCCTCTGATGCTGCTTGGCCTGCTGTGTTCATCCAGCTCTACACCTTGTTATCTCAAATTCTCCAGCATCTGCAGTTCCTACTATCTCAGAGTTAACATTTCAGGTTTGGAAGGCAGGCAATTTGTTTATGCAATCTTGAAATTGTGCAGCCGAGCCTTTCATTTTGCACAGACCCAGAAGCTCACAGAACGGCCCCCTGTGTACACGGTCTGTGACCACGAGGGACATGGGTTTATCATAATGCAAGTTGCACCGAGAGTCAACTTCTTGTCATGAAGTTAAAATTAACAACGACAAAAAAGAACACACTCCAGGCTGCAGCAGTGGTTGAAGTAACAACACTTGTGAGTGCTGAGGGTATGAGATTTTAGTTGGTGTAGTCTTTATGCATCAAACTCTAACTTTTAACAATCTTTCGCGGGCTGTGGATTGTGCATTCCTATTCGCCCTGGAGAGCCTTTTTCAAAGGCAATTTAAGTATGGCTATAATAGAATGTTTAAGGTGCGGATGAGGCCATTTGGTGCATTGTGTTCATTCTGACTCTCCACAAGATCAAGTCAGCTAATCTCACTTGCTTGAAAGGCCTAATTAGGGGGAAGGAGGATGTTGACTTAACATTGGACTGTAAACTAAAGAACTACAGATGCTGGGGATCTGAAACAAACATAAACAGAAATTGCTAGAGAAAGTTAGCACATCTGGCAGCATCTGTGGAGAGAGAAAGCAGAGTTGAAACACATTTGTGCCAATCCTGTGTAGTTACAAGTTCCTATTTAAATAACAGTGTGAAGTAAATTTCTGATGCTAACATAGCCAATTGCAAGGGATACTTGTGTTTATCTTCATCATAGTAGAATCCCTCTAGTATGGAAGCAGGCCATTTGGCCCAACAAGTCTACACCGACTCTGTAAAGAGCATCCTCCCCTGACTCACACCCCTCCCCCCTCCATCCCTGTAACCCTGTATTTCCCATGTCTAATTCACCTAATCTGCATATTCCTGGACACTACAGACAATTCAGCATGGCCAATCACCTAATCTGCGCATTTTTGGACTGTGGGAGGAAACCAGAGCACCCAGAGGAAAGCCACGCAGACACGGGGAGAATGTGCAAACTCCACACAGACAGTCACCTAAGGCTGGAATTTAACTCAGGTCTGTGGTGCTGTGAGGCTGAAGTGTTAACCACTGACCCACTGTGCCACCCTGTTTAGGTTCCACCATGAGTCTGGGAGCCCTATGAAAGTGTCTACCGACTGTCCTTTAACTGCTTTCTTGACTAGATTTTTCTTAGCTTTATATTCCTTCTGCCATTTAAAGTGGATTGATGGCAAAACGTTCATTTGGACTCAAGTGTGAGTTCTTGACTGTGCAATGTGTGACTCTCGACCGACAGCAATGTGGTTGATTCTTAACTGCCCTCTGGGCAATTAGGGATGGACAATAAATACTGCCTAGCCAGCGATGCCCTCATCCTGTGAATGAAAAAAAGTTTAGGTTTTCTGCTTTTTAGCATCCTGACATTCAAAAGCGACTTGTGGCATACCTTGAATTTTAAGTACCAGGCCTTCTGAGATTACACTGTTATTGACTGTAAACTTTCTTGACCATGGATCACTTTCTGATAAATAGTGATTCTCACCCCAGTGTCTAATTTAATATGTATGAGATAACCATTGGCATTATTATTAGTTCGCCAAAATATCTATTCCCCCTGGGGACACTTTAAATGTTTTAAGAAACGCACTAAGAGAAAGATTTTTCTTCTGTTATCGACTATTCTACCTTATTAACCCAGTAGCGTGGATAGCTGTTTGATTTCTTGCTTTTCTGAAACTGTGCCCCTCTTCTGCAAATTTTCTGAAAATAACCAATTGTGTAACCAATTAAGCATTAACTTTGAATGGCTAAGCATTGTCTGTGCCTGTGAGGTTTCTTTGTTCCATAACACTGACAAGAACTTTTAATATCTGGTGCCTGTACTAATCATTGTACTGACTGCTCATGTATGTCTTATGTAGTTTTGAATGGATTAACAATTGAATGGATTCTGTTGATCTCCTGTTTAAAAGTTGATCTTCTCCTCTTCTTATTAATCTGCGTTGCTTCTAGACTTCTGTTTCACTTAATGCCCAAAGGGCTTTCTCTGGAGTCAGGTCTTTGTTTGACTATAATAAATCTGACAAGGGCTCATCAGTGATTCCTGCCTAGATTTTGTCTTTTATGAATTTTGACTTGAAGTCACCATAACCACATTACTTCACTAATTTCAAGAAATCATAAGAGATCTATGGATTCACCTGGGTGGTGAACTCTTCTATTCAATCCTCCTGTTTTAGGAATGGTATTAGTTCTGAG